AATTCTTTCAAAGCGATCGTAGTACTTACACAAATGCCTCCGCCCCTGAGGCGTCACCAACAACTTGCAAATAGGGCCATTTCGTGTTATTTCGATGTTGATCCCCCTAACCTCAAAATTCCTCCTTGATGGCATGCGAAAAATCGAAAGGGTAATGATCGTTACTCTACTGGGCACAGTCTCTGACCTACATTGCTCTGGCCAAAGAACGTCGGAATAAATTACTCGCTGCGATGACAGGTAAAATGCGAGAAAAGCCCACACTTGTGCTAAAACTGTCCGATCTTCGTGTTGGGGATTGAGATGGATGGTCAACACGTATACCGGCTTCATTCCCTGTATGGTCCTTGTATTGTCGTAGGTATCAACTATATAATGGGGGTCACACAGATCCATCAATGGAGGTCATCCACAAGGCTTTTGAGGAGAAAAAAGAGTGTATCCCAGTTTGAATCCATCATGATCGTAAGGCAATGTTGATTTGATTGTATGGATGGCATCCGGGCGCGCATGAATTTTCCGTTTCAAAACAAAAAAGCAAACAAACAAAACCATACTGTAAATGATATAAAGCAGCTGCAAAATGAGCAAAGGTATGCTGTAAATTGGTTACAAAAGTGTTAGAAAACGATACTAATGTCGTAGAATGAGAAAATCAATTCCAAAGGAAAAGAGAAGAGTCTGTTATATTCCATACCATATAATCTTTGTATTTGGTCGAGAAATTTGTTCAGCCTTCATGACCACGTAGATTTCATAATGAATTCAACTTTTTTTTTGTCATTTTCTTTTTCTTTTCGCACGCTCGCATCAGTTTTGGAGATTCAAGCGGATGCCATCCATATAATCAAATCAACATGGCCTGACAAGTATATCCGCAATCCGTCTGGTGAAGCTCCTCCAGTGGCAGTTTTCGAGTACAGCCCATTTTACAATACCTGATGTACCCAGAGAGTGTGTTAGTAGGGAGATTTGCAGCAATCCTGCTCACAACGATCAAAACGTAAAGCCTCTGTCTGACATAGCCGAATATGGCTTAGGCCATGTTGATTTGATTATAGGGATGACATCCTCCGGGAGCCCCAAAACTGATGCGCG